GACTGTAGTCGAGCTATGATATGAACCGATTTGCATTGCCCCTGCAACTGCCGTGGTTAAAACGTACGTCACGGCCTTATGCAGGGTCATAGCCCCACAATTCAACGTAGACTCGGCAAATTCCCTCCTTCATTGCTTGGCTGCAGTTACTCCTGCTGCCCGAAGCCTAACCAAACTGCACCAAATTTACTTGCATCTCACCCATCACTGGCCACGGATGCATTGAAAATGAGCAAAAGCAAGTTCCCCTAATATTAGAAATACGCACGAATGCACGGAAGTGAGGGAATATTAAACAACGCACTCATATATATGCAAATGACCAAAACACATGTGCACGGATTCTTCCACATTTTGTGCCTAATACCTTCTCCTTCTACCACCTTCCAATGTTGCCTTCTAATGCATAGCATGCCACGCAAATTCTTCTCCCATCACTGCTCCAAATGTCACCACCAAAGTAGCAAGTGCCAAGCCTGTCACCTAGAGCAGAATTTCTGCCTTCGATGCAGTTGCATCATCCCTGTGGTGTGACAAGTTTTCACTGGGTGTCAAATGCTGTTTTGGCTGAGCCACTCCAGTTGATGACAATTATGAGGACTGTCTGGTGTTATGCTTTACTTGATCATTTCTTAGCTGATCTATTGCCATGTTCTGTTGTATTGCCATGACTCACGTCAGGAAACGTCTAATGAAGCATCATGATTCTAGTCTTTACGTATTGCCACACTAAACATGTACTTCAGTATTCCAGATATTTTGTTGCCCTAGACGCAGGAAGTAAAAGGCATAGGATGATGTGATGTGGAAGTAGGCCCTTATTATTTTACATTGGTTTGAGTGGTTTGTATAAAAATTGGACGGTCACGGATTCCTGTATAGCCTAATAGCCAATCAAACTAGATTAGGGGCACCTGGATTTTAAAGATTATTGACCAAATTTGCGTCAAAAGTAAGTAAAAATGAATAGTATCAACAGTAGAAGTAGTGTCAGTGGTATTAGAGATGCACCTTCAACACTCACGATCGCATGGAAGGCGTCAAGTCGACGTAAAACACGCAGACGTCAAGTTAGCCCAATTTTCTCAATACTTGAAGCAACAATATAGACTTCCTCGGCAATTGCGTTTCTTTCTCCTAGAAGTGCCAGTGTAAATTATGCATTTTATTCAACAGCCACACTCTTTAGACTTCCGCGTCTCTACTGGTGCCGGTGAAAACCGTAGGCCATGGTACCTGTTACCCCCGAAATAATGCTTCACCGTAGGCTGATTTGGTGGAGATGATTAGTACGAACAGAACAGGCACTGTCTACCCTCTTCAGTACCACAATTCATCTTAGACTAGTTGATGAATTGTGATGCCTATCAAAGCGTCTATGTTGACTTGCATGGCCTTGCTGATATCAGCCTCTCCTTATTATCGAAGTGGTGCTTCGACACTCGACATTTCATCATTTCTTGACAGTAGGTACTAGCAATGACCAAGATGAGTAAAGTGGTGAAGTTAGAGAAGGAAATGAGGCGATAGTTTAGTTTGGTAAAGAATAATCACATGGATTTCATTTCGTCTTGCCTCATCTCTTTTAATCATACAGGGGTAAGAAGGCCAGCCAGGTGGAATGATACACAGCAGTCAGTGGCAAGTGTGGGACTGAGAAATTTGTGGACCCGTTCACGCACCCGTAGTAATGACGTTGGGCTTCGCAGACTGAGTGTATCTAAGGTAAGGGGAGGAGCAGGGCAAAAACACGAATGGAAATACCAAAGAGAACTGAGTGTGGTGACTAACAAAGCATATAAAAAGTAGACAGTTATGATATGGCGGTTAGAATAATGATGAGGTGTCTATCACAAATTCACCTATTACGAAAATTGCACTTGGCATGGATGGAACAATAGCTTGACATGATAAAGCCCTTAAATGCAGAAAATAATAAAAAACACTTGGTAATTTAAAATGGCTTTATTCAGTAGTAATAGAAGAGCAGATACTTTCCCAAATATTGTTTGACGAGAGAGAAGCTTATGCTTATATAAGTGCAAATTTTTAACACAAGCACGCTCGCATTCAATCTTCTCCTTGAACTGGTTCGCGTTGCCTCCACAACCACCGTAGACGAAGCTCTCACACTGATCTGATGCGGGATTGTAGCCCCACACTCTGAAGTAGGCTCGACAGGGTCCAGTCCTCATTGGTAAGTTGCAGACATCCTCCTTACCTGAATCGCAGCCGGAGTCTATCGCATTCACTAAAGATTCAGAAAAATGCACTTTCGATACCAATGAAAGCATGAAAGTGGCAGGACATAAGGCAGGGTGCTTTATGGATCCGAAGCACTTAGTCAATTGTGGACCAATTCTCCCACATTCTAAATATTTGACCTACTCTCCTTTTCAAAAATGCAACTACCCTATCATGATTGGACTCACAGTGGTAGCTATTATATAGTGGGCGAAAATGTTAATTCACTCGTTGGAGGTGTGGAGGAGAGTAGCCAAAGGGTCCACAGGACACAGGAATAGCTGTTCACTTACCCTGACTGAAGTTGGCAACACAAAGTAGCAAGAGAGGCAGAAGAGCGATCATTGTCCACGCAAACTGGTGTTGTTGTCACTTAGTTTGGTGTCAATGGACACTTCCCCTTTTATATGTAATCCTCCAGTGCTTATTTGATTGGGTCAAGTAAACAGGTCTTAGGGGATGCGGTTGGTAGTTCTAGGCCATGGTTTGCAATGCAAGTCACAAGGTTAGGCTGAAGTACCTTACACAAAGGCTACCTAATTTGGATGCATGATTGCACTAGTGTCAAGTCGAAAGGAAATGGCAGGATGATGGAAGTATACTGAGTAGAAAGGGTCGTGCTTGTAAACATCTCGTCCAATCTTTACTCATATCCATCTTTGCCGTTTGATGAATTACTGGAGGAGGGCTTGAGCGTCACCCTGCTGAATAATATTCAAAGCCTCTCTTTGTCTTGGTTAAAGAGGTGCTAATCGAGAGGCGGCATACCGCGACACCATATGTATCAGCAACAGCAAACACTGAAGGTCATTCATAAACCAAATGGTAAGGATTAAATGCAGTTTGCTGCTCCGTTGAAAGTGAATACATACCCTGGTAAACAATGGCAAGTGTCACGTGTCACGAACTCACTTTGAACCATTCAATTGAGCGGTTTTGTTGTCACAGTTGTAGCAGACAAACAAAGGCCGCAGTGGTGGCAGTTAGGCAGGAGAGGAGGAAATAAGCACTATTTCTTTCTGATAACTTCATGTTGGTACGTCACAGCAATTGCGTAGCAATTCGTTCCAAGTTGAGGAATTTTTCTCCAACTGCCATTGTAGCTTTACTTCCAGTGTCGAAATTGAAAAAAGATTTCTGTGTAAGTGCATGTGGGATGGTTTGGTGATATTCGTGTGGGGTGGAAGGTAGTTATTGAGGACTAAGCCGATTGTTCTTCTACTCACAGCTATGGTTGGAGGATAGAGGCAAACTTAGAGGTCTCAAAACAGAGCGGATTTGCTGCAAAAATTCGATTACAGTGCATTCGATGAAAGTGATTCTCCTGTGGGACTCGACGTGTTAAGTAGTCTTCAACGTCAACTTACTGAATGACTAACGAATCTTCCTCTTTATAGAGGTAGACGATGGTAAAGGAAGTCAGAGAGTCCACTCTTCCAACAAAAATTATGGGTGCTGTATAAAGGTAAATTAGCACGGATTGACATTGAGTGGGATCGGGGCTGGAGGGATAGCTTTTACTAAAAAGGACAGTAGGTACGTCAGCAGGGCTTTAAAACGTAGCTGTGAATGTCACTGTAGTCTGCAACCGTGTGGCTCATCAGCATGTCTCCTTCGGGCGAACAATGAGAAGAAGGTCCAGCATGATTTTCATGACGATAGGATGTGGATCATATTCATCGATGAAAAAGTACTTCTTTGTGCATAGCCGATACCTCCAACACATCCAGTTATCGAATTGGGTTTAAATTAAGCGAATACTCTCTTCTTACTTAAACAAAAATAGAAGAGGTGATTTCAGGTTAAGAAGATATTCATTGTGACCAGAGGAAACGTTGACGATGCAGTCGACGCAAGTAGCATGTCCACCTAGCGTCTCTTCTCTCCCCTCCTCTTACAATCGCATAATTTTAAGCTTCACTCCGAGCTAATCACATTCTTACGTTGGTTTTATACAAATGCTCGTTAAATAGTTCTTTTTGATTTCATCTACTGTTTTGGTGGTTATTGAATGAATGACCTTTCTCGTCAACTGAATGATCGTGTGTTTATGTTGCTAGATGGCCGGCAAAATGAAGTGTCGACGTTTAATCACTGGGTTTGAGTCTATTTTTATCGCTAAAAAGCAGAGTAGTAGAACAACCAAACATTGTTTCTTAATGAGGTGTTTGTTAAAGCCATTGTAAGTATCGCTATCACTTGCTGAACCTATCTCGAAATATTAGACCGTTTTATAACACATTATGCCAATATGGTACCATCTTATGTCACATGAGAGGATAGAATATAACTGGATTTAAGTGGAGATTAGCTCGATTTGCGTTTATTTGCATAACAAAGTTTAGTTTGACTAGTTGAGTAGCAGAAGTATCCGGTTGCATTGAATGCATAGTACTGGAAAGAGAATCGGCATGCGATATCAACAAATTATACAGTCAAAGTGAACGATGAAGGTCATTAGCGGATCATAGCGTATTCGCTTGATGTAGTGCACTGCCTCGTTGCAAGTAAAACTATGCCAAGGTAGATAATTTAAACAGGCCTTTGTTAAGAATTTGGTTTTGACAATCCAGTCCAATTGCTCCGTCTTCAAAGTTTCAGTTGAAAGCCTCCTGCTACCTGCAAGACTGCTAAGGGACAGGAGGAGACCTACATTTTCCCAGATCTGACGTTAATAAGCCGTTTTGGGTGCTGCATGCCTACTAGTACCGTTTTATTTTGCGTAGTCATTGGCAGGTAACAATGGCTCTCAAGGAAATTGCTTAACGTCATAAATTTTTCTGTAACAACCATTACACTCCCACATTCGGTGTCAAACTGAAAAGGTAATGTCCGATTCCTTGTAATTTCTAGCGGGATGATTTTAATGCGATTTGTACAGGGCGAGAGGTAACTGTTCTACTTGACTGGTAGAGACTCACTTCTCAGCTTCGCGGCAGGGCCAAATGTAGACCAAATTGTTATTATTATATGCCAATATAATGGCGACTACCATGTAGGACTCCATGTGGTGCAATACACTTTTGCGTAGACACACGAATGTGGCAGTGAATTGCATGGCAAGACAAGATAACGCGAAGTGAGAAGGGGTGAGGTGAGTTAAGATGGTGCAATGTAATGCGAAATAGTTTAAAAGAATAGGTGCAAGTGGTTGGGCATATCCCAATGCCCTCAGACGAAATACATAGTATGCTACACAGTAGACGCTCTCATTCAAAATTCCAACCTCGTATTTATCTTTGCTATACTGAAATGCGTTAGACACTCGTTCTTGTGCAAAGGTGGCACTTGGAGGAGAATAACTCTGCCGATTGTGATATGTAGGCACATCAAGTAATGGAATAGAATGAAGACCAAGTTGTAAAAGGTACTGGCAATTACTTCTCTATGGATCTTCTGCAAATTCTGAGTATGATTTCGGCCCTACCGATCAGACCGTGTCAGTTGACATTCACCATCTAAAATGATGGCCATTTGCATTGGCATAACCGTGAGCAAAATTAGACGAGAAGCCAGTGTTGTCATGAGCGACAAAGTGAAGAGGTCAAGTCTATTGATTTAATGCAACTAAGTGAAATGAGTACAGGAAAAGTAGAGGATAAAAGTGGAAAATGAGCAATTAAGTGAGTGAAGTAAATAATGAGTTGATGTAAGGAGTATTTAGCTCGAATTTCTAAGCAAAAGACCTTCCAACATCCATCAGTAGTTATGTGGCAGTGACCCGAATCCCTCATGAAACTCAACACCATGTGCCTCCCTTCTGGATTTTACCAGAAACAATTAAATATTAACACAGAAATTATTTGGACTAGATAGGGAAAGGCAGGAAAAATTTTGCTTATTCCACATTTATTTTATTTGTAATAGTAAGGATGGATGCATTTGTAGATATATGCTTTGGATGGAGAGGGATCAGTGCCTCTTCTTCTTCTGTCAAGGGTTACCACAGACGCGCTTGCATTCACTCCTGTCATTGAAGCGGTTTGCATTACCTCCGCAGCCGCTGTAAATGAAATGCTCGCAATGACCCTTTTTGCGATTATAGCCATAGACTTTGATGTGAGATTGGCAAGTTCCTCTCTCAATTTTCAGATTGCAGATATCTG